CCGGGGCTGGAAGCAGGTGGCAGTGACATCCTGCTGCCAACCTATCAGGCCAGGCTGGGACAGTGAGGGTTGTCACTTGGGGACCAGCCCAGCTCCCCCAGCACGGTGCTGCCCTCCCATCGCAGCACCGCCTTGTCCTGCCCCACACTCCCCCAGGATGGGGTTTGGGGTGTGCACTAGTGGGGGAACAGGATCCAGCCCCACACCCGTGGGGGTGCTGTGCCCATGGGGGTCTCTGGCTCAGCAACTCCCTTCCCTTTCAGGGTGACCATCCCGCTGTACGACGCCGACACGGGGCTGCTGGTGCTGGCAGGGAAGGTGAGGTCCCATGGTTGGGGTGTGGAAGGAGGCACTGCGGGGACAGGAGGATGCAGGGGGTATAGTGAAGTGCAGCTTGGTGCACCGGTGGAGTACAGGAGGGTGCATGTGGGTGCAGTGGGATGCTTCCTACAGCCCTGCTCGTTCCCTGACCACACCACCTCTCTTCCAGGGAGAAAACCTCCTGTACTGCTTCGAGGTGGCCCCCACGCAGCCAGCACTCACCCAGGGTAAGCAGGTCCCATCCCACCCATATCTTCCCCCAGGGGGCTCACCACTGCCTGGTGGTACCCCACAGCCACCCTGCCTGTCCTGCAGTGACCCAGTGCCGGACGGAGGGCAGCACACGGGGCCTGGCAGCCGTGCCACGCCTGGCCCTGGATGTCATGGCCTGCGAGGTGCTCCGTGTCCTGCAGCTCACTGACACTGCCCTCATCCCCATCAGCTACCTGGTGCCACGCAAGGTAAGGGGGCCCTGTGGTCAGCACTGTCTCACAGTGCCTGCTGTCATCTCTTGGGTGACACCTCACCAGCACTGTGTGACAAAAAGGACCTGGCTGCAGTGAGACCCCAGTCCCCAGCCTGGGGAGAGGAATGGAGGTCAGACCTGGATGTTGATGGTGCGTTGCAGAGTCTGGGTGCTGGATTTGGGAAGCCAGGCGCTGTGTGCAGGATTGGGGTGCTGGAGAGTGGATGCTGACAGCTGGGTGCCACCTGCTGGGTGCTGTTGTGCAATGGGTGCTGAGCACTTCAAGCAGTGAAATGGTGCTGTGTAGTGGGGTCAGGGTGCTGGAAGTATCTGGGGGTGTCCAGGGGTGACCCAGCTGCTGTAGGACAGAGGCTGTGGGATTTTGGGAATACCCATCTCGCCCCATCACCTCTCCCACAGTCTGTCCAGGAGTTCCATGAGGATCTGTTCCCTGACTGCACGGGGACACTGCCAGCCACCAACGCCCAAGGCTGGTGGGCAGGGGACAGCCAGCAGGTCAGTGTCATCCAGGGGAGGTGTCCTTGCTGCTGGCATTGCCACTGCCCCATGCCCACCGTTGTGCTTGATGCAGGTGGGAAGGGTGAGCCTGCACCCTGCACGGAGACCCACGGAGACCTTCACATCCCCCATCATTGCTGCCACTAGCCCCACCAACACTGGCCACACTGAAGCCACCACTGGCCACACCAGTGCCAACACTGGCCACACCGACACCGACCAGAGTGTGAGCATGGGGCACTGGAAAAGTGCATTGAATGCTAAAGGGGCAGGGTCCCTGCTGCCCTCATCCCACAAGACAAGGCTCGGGTGCCAGCATCCCCTGCCCACTGGCTCTCTCTCCCGTAGGAAGCCAGTGGCTACTCCTCACCATCCTCACTGGCCTCACCAAGCAGCGCGGCCACCTCGCTCTCAGCCAGCACCGGCCCCTCCAGCGGCTTCGCCAGCAGCCCCAGCCAGAAGTCCCTGCAGAGCATTTTGGGTGAGCAGGCAGCGGGGCCAGCTCGGGGACCCCACTGGGGGGATTCAGGGCTCTCACCCACCCCTCACCCACTCCAGGGCCCAGCTCCCGCTTCCGGCACGCGCAGGGCCGGGTGCTGCACCGGGACCACCACCTGACCAACCTGCGGGGGCTCAGCCTCACCACGCCGGGCGAGTGCGACGGCTTCTGCGCCAACCAGCAGCGCATCGCCCTGCCCCTGCTCTCCGCCGGCGGCCAGATCGCCGTGCTCGAGGTACCCTGGAGAGCTGTGGGGACCGGCATGGTGCCACGTGGGCCGTGCTGGTGACCCCTGGCTCTCTCCCACAGCTCTCCAAGCCCGGCCGTCTCCCCGACGTGGCCATGCCCACCATCCAGAATGGCTCAGCCGTGGCCGACCTCACCTGGGACCCCTTTGACCCGCGGCGCCTCGCTGTCGGTACGTGTGTGCCGGCCCTGCCGGGGCCTGCCCAGAGTCTCCCAGCTCCAGGCATGCCAGATCACCCCATTAACCACTGCCCATCCCTTCGGGGGCGCAGCGGGCGAGGACGCCAGGATCCGGCTGTGGCGGATCCCCGAGGGAGGGCTGCAGGAGACCCTGCAGGAGCCTGAAGCTGTTCTCCAAGGTGAGGGGACTGTTGAGCACCCCACACTGGGGACAAACAGCCCAGTGGCACCCGGAGCTGGGGACAACCACACACCACTGAACTTCACCAGGTCACACGGAAAAGATTTACTCCATCCGCTTCCACCCCGTGGCATCCGATCTCCTGGTTTCCTCCTCCTACGACATGACCGTGCGGATCTGGGACCTGAGCGCCGGGCAGGAAGTCTTGTGCCTGCGGGGACACACGGATCAGGTATGGGATGACGAATGTAGGGACACCTGAGAGACAACTTTGGGACATTTGCACAATATCTGTCTCCAGATTTTCAGCATGGCTTGGAGCCCAGACGGGAAGAAGCTGGCAACGGTGAGCAAAGACGGACGGATACGGCTCTACGAGCCACGGTGCAGCTCTTGGCCTCAACAGGTACAATCCCAGCACTCAGAGTGGGCTGGAGAACTGGAGGTGTGGGCAGGAAACCCCCCCTGTGGGCACATGAGTGCACCCCCAGCTCTCTCAGAGCAGGCAGGGTGACCTTCACCCCATGCAGGAGGGCCCAGGTCCTGAGGGGGGACGTGGAGCGCGCCTGGTTTGGGTTTGTGGTGGTGACTACCTCCTGGTGTCTGGCTTTGACAGGTAAAGAGGGGGACACATACCGGGGCAGGGGTCCCTGAGGACACTGTGCTTGCTCTCACTGTCACCTCCCCACAGCCGCAGCGAGAGGAGAATCCTCCTGTACCGGGCACAGGCCCTGCCTGAAGGACCCTTGTCTGTCCTTGGTCTGGACGTGGCCCCTTCCACCCTCCTGCCCTTTTACGATGAGGATACCAGCGTCATCTTCCTCACCGGCAAGGTGAGGGCTTGCCTTCCAATAAACTGTGGGGCTGCCTGCCTACAGCACCCCACAGTGTGGAGTGTCCCCTTCCATGTCCCCTGACAGCCTCCATCTCGTTCCATGCCCAGGGTGACACAAGAGTCTTCCTCTACGAAGTGACCCCTGAGCCCCCCTATTTCCTCGAGTGCAACAGCTTCACCTCCAATGAACCCCACAAGGTGAAGGGGGGTTGTGCTGCCTGTCCCTGAACCCCTACCTGCACTGCTAGACCCCACTCACACCCCCACCCCACCAGGGCTTCGTCTTCCTGCCCAAAACGGCGTGCGAGGTGCGGGAGGTGGAGTTCGCCCGGGCACTGCGCCTGGGGCAGAGCACCCTGGAGCCCGTGGCTTTCCACGTGCCACGTGTCAAGGTAGGTTGTGGTGGGGGCCTGGCTGCGTTTTGGGAGGGGAACAGGAGGCAGAGCAGCCCCCTGAGTGCCCCTTGTCCCCGCAGAAGGAGTATTTCCAGGACGATCTCTACCCGCCGACCCGCGTGTGGTGGGAGCCGGCCCTGGGTGCGGGTGCCTGGCTGGATGGGCAGGACGGGCAGCAGCGCCGTGCCAGCCTGCGCCCCGCAGACATGGTGCCAGGTGGGTGCAGGAGCTGGGCGAGGAGCCTCGGCCCCAGGGATGGCTGGGGGGGGTTTAGTCAATGGGGTAAAGCCCTCCCGCGCCATGGTGACACCGCTCCCACAGTGAGTGAGGCCCCAAAAGAGGCTCCGGCTCGGAAGTTCGTCCCCGCGTCCGTGTACCTGGAGGAGAAGACTGATGAGCAGAAGAAGGAGGAGGTGGGTTCTGGGATGAGCACCGTGCGGCAGGGCCGGGGGTGATGCCCCGAGCCCCACGGCTCTGCCCGGCCTCTCCCCACAGCTCCTCAGTGCCATGGTGGCCCGGCTGGGCAACAGGGATGACCCGCTGCCCCAGGACTCCTTCGAGGGTGTGGACGAGGACGAGTGGGTGAGTGCGGAGGGGACACACGACCCTCGGGTGGGTCGCCCCCGGCCCCGCCGTGCCCCTCACCCCCCGGTCTCCCGCAGGACTAGGCTGGACCCGGCACCCCCAGGAGCAGCCGGGACCCCCGACAGGAGGACGAGGAGAAGGAGGGAGAGGTGGAGGAGGCGCAGGGCCCGCCGCGGGCAGGACCCGCTATTAAAGCCGCTGCACCAGCACCGTGTCCTGCCCTGATCCTGGGACACCGGGGGGGACACGGGGAGACACAGGGAACAAGGGGCACGTGGACCGGGGAAACACAGGGACTGGCTCCAGGGGGGTTACGGGGATCGGGGTGACACAGAGACTGACAGCGGGGGGACACGGTAACCGAGGGGGACATGAGGACCGGGGCGGGGGGGTACACAAGGAGCGGCCCCGGCTGGACACAGGGACCGACACCGGGGGATACGGAAATTCGGGAGAACGCGGGGACAGAGAGGGACCCAGGGACCGCGGCAGGGGGGGACGCGGGGGGACACGGCGACCAGCACCGTGGGGGAACAGGATGGGTACTGGGGTGGCACAGGGACGGGGGGAAACCGGGACCGGCACCGGGATAACACAGGGACCGGGGATGGAGGGGCACAGCGAGCGGGGGGACGCGGGGACCGGGTTGGGGGAAGTCACGCCCCAGCCGCCGATGGGCCTCCCGCGCGGGGAGACCGCCAGGGGGCGCTGTGGCTGCAGCGGGGACGCTCCGCCCGCGCCGCCGCCGTCTCGGTGTCCGCCGTGACCCTCACCAGCGGCCACGTGACCGCCGGGGCGGAAGCGGCGGCGGGGACATGGTGAGAGGGGACGGGGGAACGGGGCGGGGGGACATCGGCACGGGGGAGCTGAGCTGGGGTTGGACAGGGCCCGGGGAGGGGCAGCGCGCTCGGGAATGTGCGAAGCAGCTGGTTCTGGGAGGGTCAGGGCCAGAGGAAAGGGGACAGGGGCGGAGGAAAGGGTCACAGGATCACGGAAGGGGGAAGAAGTCACGGGGAGGGGTAACAGGGACAGAGGACGGAGGACAAGGCCAGTGGAAGGGGAGCAGGGACAGGGGAAGGGGTCACAGGACCAGCGGAGAGGGGACAGAGGCAGGGGAGGGGGGAGAGGGCCTGGGGAGGGGACGGGATCAGGGAAAGGGCCTGGGTGCGGGGACAGGGCCAGAGAAGGGGGGACGGGGACAGGAGTCACGTGGAGTCAGAGCAGAGGTGACAGAGCCAGGGTCGTGCAGGGCCCATGGGGAGGTGACAGGGCAAAGGGGCCGTGATGACAGCAGGGTGTCCCCGCAGGCCAAGTACCTGGCACAGATCATTCTGGTGGGGGCCCAGGTGGTGGGACGGGCCTTCATGCGGGCGCTGCGCCAGGAGTTCGCAGGTAGGAGCTGAGATGCTGCTCCGTGTGCTCCGTGTGCCCTGCTGGGCACTGCTCCACATCCCCACCCTTCCCTGTGCTCCCCATCCCTGGGCCATGCCTGCAGGGGACACTGCCAGGTTGTCACAGGGCTCTGTCCTGGCCCTGGCACTGCTGCCAGGCTCACAGAGATCCCAATGTTCCAAAGGGCAGAGTGGGATAATCCCTGGGATGTGGCAGCCCCAGCCCTGCCTTGCCTGTAGCAAACGGTGCCTGCCTGGTCCTTGCTGCCCCCCTGGCATTGGGACGGTGTCCAGATGGCCCCAGGGGTGGCTGAATGGGGACACCGGGGTCTGAGCACCTGGGAGTGCTCAGGCTTTGCTGCCTGAGGGTTGGGGTGGCGTGGGCAGCGTGGGGGACTCAGGCCCTGGTGTCCCCAGCGAGCCAGGCCGCAGCCGATGTACGAGGACGCGCAGAGAGGCCCCAGTCCGCTGCTGCCTCCAGGATCATCGGCATCAGCCTCCAGGAGGCTCAACAGATCCTCAACGTCTCCAACCTCAACCCTGAGGAGATCCAGAAGGTAGAGGCTTCTTTGGAACCAGGGAGGGATGGTGCTGGCAGGGCCTGGCCTCTCCAAGGGTGCTGCTAAGCTTGGGGGTGGCAGCTGGTCCCCTGTGCTGTCTTGGGCCCAGTTAATGATGGTTTGAGAATTCCCTGCCCCAGCTGGAGCAGCACTCCAGGCCTGATCTCTGCCTCTGCCCAGCAGGGCTGCTCAGGGAAGGGATGTGGGATCTCTGGAGGTGCCCAGCTGGAAACATGGGGACTCGGAAGGGGTGTCAGGCAGAGCCAGCTGTGTCCCCAGGATCACTCTTCAGCAGTGCTCTGGGGAGTGGGAGGCTGCCAGGGTTTGGGAGTGGGAATGGCAAGGGTGGAGGTGACTCTGACCCAGAGCTTCTCTCATCAGAACTACGACCACTTGTTCAAGGTGAACGACAAATCAGTGGGAGGCTCCTTCTACCTGCAGTCCAAGGTGAGCACCGGGAGGAGCAGAGTGGGAGCAGCACCTTCCCCTTCCCCTGCCTGCGTTCTGGGACAGGCAAAAGTCCCAAATGAGCCTGGATATACCCATGGATGAGGCAGGGAGGGGAGGGGGCACCCCATCCCTCGGTGGCACCCCATCCCTCGGTGTCACCCCATCCCTCGGTGTCACCCTGTGTCCCACAGGTGGTGAGAGCCAAGGAGCGGCTGGACGAGGAGCTGCGCATCCAGGCCAAGGGCGACAAGGAGAAGGGGCGGAAAGCCGAGACGTGACTCCTGCCCCCCGTGCCCCTCACCCTTAACTTATAGGTAGCCAATAAACACCATGTCCTCCAGCACCTGGCCTGGCTGCTCCACACCCAGGGAGGGAGCGGGGACCTGCCTGCCCAGCGCTGCCCTGGAGGGATCGGCCCCTGTGAGGGGCTGCATTTGCCCAGGGGAGGAGGAAGAGGAGGAGGAGGATCAGGAGGCAGCTGGGGAAGAAGGGGTGCCCCCAGGGCTTTAAGGCTGCCAGGGCTCAAATGGCACTGGGGGAGGCTGCAGGAGCTATTTTTGGTGGGGAGGTTGGATGCTCTTGCAGTGCTACCTCTGGCTCCATACCCTGGGTGTGCTGTGCCATTACCTTCTCCCAGTGTGGGTCAGGGTGAGGGGACACCCTGTGGCTGTCCCCACCTGCAGCTCACCCCACAGATGCTGGCAGGGTTTCACTGTGCCAAGGCCGCCTGAGCAGGAGCGTGGGGACACGGCTGGAGGTCAGGCAGGGCCAGCCGTGCCCCCAGGGTCACACCCGTCCCCTCCTGCACCCCTCTGTCCCCAGCATGGGCTCCTTGCCATTGCCACCACGACCATGGACTGAAACAGGAACTTACTTCAACTTCACTTTATTGTTTTCTTAATAAACTTCCTCTCCCCTGGACGAATATAGTGTTACAGTCGTTAGCTTATCTCGTACTTGTGCAGTCCTTACACGCTACGCTAACAGCGATGGAGCCCAACAGGAGGAAAATAAAAACAACCCAGAAACTACGATAGAAAGGCACTTCGAGACCGTTAAAATACTGATGTCCTGGAATGTGCAACAACAAACCGACGAGGAGCGAGGAGACGTTTCACCGGCCGGGGCGGCCTGGTCGAGGGCCCGCAGCCATGCTGGGCTAGGGCAGCGCCGGGCGGCCGCCGGTGAGGGCAGGGAGACCGGCTCCCTGCGGGGCTCCTGCAGCACGGCAGGGCGGGACTGCGGAGCCACCCATGGGCTCGGAGCGAGCGGGACGTGTGTGACCCCCGGGGGAGGCTCCGAGCTGCCCCGCGGCCGGGGGGCTCAGCCGGGAGCATCCCAGCGCCGCAGCCCGAGGAGGGAGCCCGGCAGCCGGTGCCGGCCGTGCCCGCATGCACTCGCGGTGCGTGGTTAGGTATGAACGTAGCTAAAGGGGGGCTGTGCCCCGGCGAGCAGCACACGCGGCCGTGTGCCTTGTCACGGGAGGGCCGGGCGGGGGGACAGGGGGAGGACACGGGCGGGTGCCGGGCCGGGGGTGCCCAGCCAGCTGGGCCCGGCACGGGGGGTGCCGTGGCTGCGGCGATGCCCGCGGCCGTGCGGGGTGGGATGGCACGGCCGGGCACAGCTCGGGGCTGTGTGGTCCCCCGGCTGTCGCCCCGCTGTCCGTGCGGCAGGAGCCTGGGGGCTGCAGCCCCCCACAGCAGCACCGAGGCCTGGGGCAGGGAGACGCCGAGTCAGCGGAAGCAGGAGAGCCCAAGCGGGACCCTGTCGGAGCAGGGGGCTGGTCCAGAAATAAATAGCGGCGTATCCGGCTGCCTAGGGCCGGGGGTGGGGGGCAGGAGCAGGGGGACCCCCCTGTGCCCCACCTGCCCCCAGCACGGGGTCGCAGCCGGCTCCGGCCGCCGAGGGATTATTGCTTTTCTCAGAAGAGTCCGTTCTTCTTTCGTGACGGGTAAAAGCACGAGCGAGGCCCCGCCGGGGCTGCGGGGGGAGGAGGGGGCCATGCCCCACCCCCCCGGCCCCAGGGAGCGGGATCTGCCCACGGGGCCGGCGGCTGACCCCGGGCATCGTCGGGCCCCTCAGTTGACAGCGGCGGGTTTGAGCAGCAGGGAGCCGGGGGGGATGAGCACCCAGCCGGGGGGCAGCGCCTCGGGGCTGCCCCCCGAGCTGACACCGGCCGAGAGGTCGAGCACGGCCCCCGGCAGCAGTGCCAGGCTCTCGGGGGGCACCCGCGGCCGCCCCGGCTCCGTCCGTTCGCCCCTCTCCTTCCGGCTCTCCAGCCCCTTGCCCGCCTTGGGCGGCCGCCCCTCGGCCCCGCTGCCCTTCTCCCCCTCGGCCTTGGCCCCGCCGGCCAGCAGCGACATGACGGGCAGCCCCAGCCCCGCCGCGAAGGGCGAGGGCAGCAGCGGGCTCTTGGCCAAGTTCAAGGGGCCGCCGTTGAGGGGCAGGACGGGGCCGGGCAGGGCGGGCAGGGCGCCCGCAGCCCCGCAGCCCAGGGCGCTGAGGTCGAGCGGTGCCGGTGCCAAAGGGATGGGCAGCGCCGGCAGCCCCGGCGGAGCGAAGAGGGCGGCGGGGTTGGGGATGACGAGCTGCGCCCCGTTAACGTAGGGCACCTCCGCCGAGCCCAGGGGCGTTTTGGGAGGCGGGTGGACCTTGAGCATCTCCGGGTGCTCGGGGGACACAAAATGCCCGTGGGCTTTGATGTGCTTGCGGAGGGAGCTGGGGTCGGTGTAGCGCTTGTGGCAGCCCGGCATCTTGCAGGAGTAGGGCTTCTCCACGTAGTGGGTGCGGGTGTGCTTGAAGCGGTCGCTGGAGTTGGAGTATCGCTTGTTGCAGCCTTCGTAGGGGCAGATGTAGGGCTTCTCACCTGTGGGACAGCAGCGGGTCTGCCGGGGGGCACCAGCCCTGCCGTGTCCCTGGGTCCCCCCGAGCCCCCTGCTCCCCCGGTGAGGGCGGTGCGGGGGCTGTCCTGACCTGTGTGCGAACGGTTGTGGATTTTCAGGTTCTCCAGGCGGGAGAAGCTCTTGTTGCAGGTGGGGCAGCGATGCGGCTTCTCGTTGGTGTGCGTCCGGATGTGGATCAGCATCTTGTACCTGCCGGGATGGGGGCGATCGCAGAATCATGGAATGGGTTGGGAAGACCTTGAAGCTCTCATCGTTTCAAATCCCCTGCCACAGGCAGGGACACCTTCCACTGTCCATCCTGGCCTTGGACACTTCCAGGTGCAGCCACAGCTTCTCAGCCTCCCCACCCTCACAGGGAACAATTTCCTCCCAATACCCCATCTAATCTCTCCTTTTAATTTAGAACTGTTCGCCCTTGTCCTATCACCATCTGCCCATGGAAGCATCAGGGAGGGAATGTTAGAGAAGGGGTCAGCCCTGACTCCCAGGGCAAGTCTTTGTCCTCGTGCCTTGGGTGTGGGGTGGGAGAACAGGGACATCCAGGCTAGCACAGTCATCCAGCCCCCTCCAGGACCTTGCATCTTGCACAAGAGGGAGGGAGGGACAGACGGAGGCTTCCTTTGCACATCCCCAGTGCTGGGCTCCTGCCTTCCCACAGCAGCCCCCCAGAGACCCCAGAGATCCCCTGGAGCCCCCCATGCCCACCTGGCATTGAAGCCCCTGCCATGGCGGGCACAGCCCTCCCAGTGGCAGCAGTACCCCGCGTCCTTCTCGGGTTTGACGTGGAAATCGTTGACGTGGTCCACCAGGTCTTGCAGGAGGTCGAAGAACTGGTTGCACTGTGGGCAGGAGGCTGGTGGTGAGGGAGCCCAGCAGGGTGGGCACCAGGGGAGACAGACCCCCATCATGGCCACCACCTGTGCCCCATCCCATCCCAGCTCCCACCCACACCCCATGTGCAGCAGCACCAGCATTTGGGGAAATGGAAATGAACCTTTGCCTGAGGGCATCTTTGCACAGCACCCACCTCCCCATCACCACCTTTCCAGCCCTACTGTCCCTGCTTGGCCTCCCAGCCCCAAAACTTGCCCACAGCCCCAGAGATCTGGGCTATGGCCTTCCAGCCTCATGTTCTCTCCCCAGCCCTAAAATTCCCCCCAAGTGCCCCTCGTCACTGTAGTGTCCCAGCCCCTCATCACCACCTCCATCCCCTCAAAGCTCCCACACACCCCCACCATAACCCCCCACGGCCCCCAGCCCTCCCTGCTGACCTTGGACCAGCGGCAGACGAGCTGCTTGGGCAGGGGCAGCTCGGGGGGGAGCCGTTTCTCCTTGCTGGGGGGCAGGAAGGCGGCAGGGGGCAGGTGCAGGGCCCCCCCAGCCCCCAGCGGCAGGAAGAACTGGAAGGAGCTGGGGAGGCCATCGATGTAGCGCAGGGACTGGAAATCCTGGAGCAGAGGCCAGATGGAGGAGTGGTGGGGGATAGGGCCAAGCTGGATGGAGACCCCCAGAGACCCCTCCTGAGCCCTTCCAAATATTCCTCCCAGCCCCCCAGGAACCCCAGAACCCCCCCAGAGACCCCCTTAGAGATCCTTTCCCTGAGATCCTCCCACGGTCCCCAGAAACCCCCTAGACCTGCCACCCCCCCCTCAGAGACCCCAAAACCCCACAGAGACCCCCAGAGACACCCCAAAGAGAACTCCCAGGAGCCACCCCGGGGATACCTCTGGGCTCGGGGGCCAGGGGGGCCGGGCAGGACATTGACCCCGGGCTGTGTACACCGGCAGCACCGGGCACGCTGCCCGGGCACACCGCTGGGGACACCTCGGGAGGCCCAAGGCCGCACTTACGTGTGGGGTGAGGGGGCCGGGCAGGTCCCCGCTGCCCTGGCGCTCAGGGGACAGCGAGGCACTGCCAGCCGGAGACTCTCCCCCGGAGCGGGGCGAAAGGCTGAGGTCCACCACGGGCACGGCGGCCGGGAAGCGTCCATCCCGCGGCTCCACCAGCCTGGAGTGTCCCAGGAGCCCGGGGGACGGCGAGGCCGGCACGGCCCGGCGACCCCCCCGGCTGCCCCCTCGGCCATCCCCGGCCGGCGGGGTGTCCGGGCGCTGGGGAGCGCGGGGCCGGGGGCCGGAGGGGCCCCGCTTCTCACGGGCAGCTCGCAGCTTGGAGATGCTCAGCTTGAGGTCCAGGGGCTCCTCCAGGGAATGCATGGTGCCGGGATGGGCTCTGCGGGGGACAGCGAGGGGTCACCGCAGGGCTGGGGGTCAGCAGTGCCGCCCAGAGCATCGCCCCAGCCCGGCCCCATGGCAATGCCCGCTCTGCTCCGGGCCGGAGGACGCGGTGCTGGCACGGAGACCGTGCCGTCCCTTCCGGCCACCCTGCCGCGGCCCCCTCCCGCAGCGGGCAAAGGGCAGGGCATGGCACCGGTTCCCCCCCACCCCGGCCCTTCGGTGTCCCCAGCGTGTCCTCTCCGTGTCGTCGGCACAGCCGCTTGGCCCGTGCCCAACCCTTGCCGGGGATTGCCAAATCCCCTGGGCACCCGCGGCGCTGGAGCTGTGGTGTCCCCATTCCGCCCCCCATCCTTCCATCCCTCCATCCATCCGTCAATCCCCGCGGGCCTGCCCCAGCGAGGCCTTTCCCAGCGGCAGAGGAGGGCGGTGGCGGCCACCAGCCCGGCGGTGACCCGGGCGGCCGAGCCCGCTGGCCCCAGCCCCGGAGGCGGCAGAGTTTCCTCCCCCGCCGGGGCCCCTTCCCCGCCGGCCAACGCCGCTGCAGCCGGGGCCGAGCAGGGGCTGCCGGCCGCACGGAATGGCACGGAATGGCACGGAATGGCAAGGAATGGCACGGAATGGCACAACACAATGCCACCCTCGTGGCTCGGCCGCCGCACATCTGGCGGGCAGCTGAGAACGGGCAGCTCGGTGCAGCAGTGAGCGCCCGAGCCCGAGCCGATGCCGTCCCCCGGCTGTGCCCCCGCGGCCACCCGCATCGCCCAGGGCAGGGTGGGGGCGGCCGAGGGGCCGTGTCGGGGGGCACGGCGCACCCAGCACACGTGGCAGCGGGGGGGCCCCTCCATCCCCACCCCGCCCCGGGGGGCCCGTCCCCCGCCCTGCCCCGCCGGAGGGGCCCCCCGAGCTGGCGGGGGTCCAGCCCGGCTCAGACGCTGAGGAATGCGGAGGAGCCGCGGGGGGCACGGGGCCCGGGCGGCGGGGCGGGGACCCCCCGCTGCACCCCTGTGCTGGCAGAGGGGCCGGCCCCAGGGGGGGTTCCTGTCCCGGGCTCTCAGGGTGGGAGGAGCTGCCCCACAGCGTCTCATCGCCCTGAGCCTCTCGTGGCCGTAGGGTCAGCCCCATAGTCGGGTCCCTCCTCTCCAGTGGGGGGGGGGGTCCTCGCCCGAGCATCCACCTCCTCCCACCGCTGTGGAGGCTGCCCCATATCAGCGTCCCATCTCCTGGGACAGGGACGCTCACCGAGCTTTCCCGGCCGTGGGGGCTGCCCACAGAGGGACCTTTCCCCTCTTGGGGGTCCTCACCCTGCGCCCCACTGCGGGATGTGCCCGTGGGATGTCCCCATCCTGAGCCCCACCATGGTTCTCGGGCTCCAGCAACCCCCCCCGTGCCCCATAGCTCGGGGACAGACAGCCACAGGGGCAGGACTCCACAGCTGGGGTGTCATAGCAGGACCCCCAGCTCAGGGACTGGGACAGGGCGCTGCAGCCCCGCCGTGACTCTGATCCCGCAGTGGGGCCAGGCAAGGCGTCCCTGCTGATCCCACCGCGACCGTCGCGTCCTCACGTCCTCAGGGCTGGGAGTTTGGGGGGTCCCGGTGCGGGCGGGGCTGGGTGGGGACCGCAGCCATCCCCGGGCGGGCCGGGTGAGAAAGGGGCCTCTCCAGCCGCTGACGCCAGGGCTCCCAGCGCGGCCGCGGGCGGGCGAGCAGGCGGCTGCCAAACCACGCGGCCTCGGGAAACGGGGCGCCGCGGGGGCCCCGCCGGGATGGGGACGGGGACAAGCCCTGCGGTGGCTTGGCCGGACGCCCCAGCACCTGCGGCCCCCGCGCGAGGCCCCTACCCGCTCCTGCCTGCCCCTGCCTGCTCTCCCTCCACGGCCTCTCCTGCCCGCGCCAGGCGCTGCCAGCCCGGCCCCAGCCCAGCTTCCCCCCCGCCACACCAGTTCAAACCAGTCCGTCGCGGGACTGGGCCCAGGGGCTTCCCAGTCCGGGTGGGGGCCGCTGGGATGGAGCCCGGGCGCGGGGAGAGCCCCCCCGTCTCCACCGGCCAGGCTGGGGTCCCATGGGCCCCCCACGCTGCCTGGCCGCCGGCACGGCTGGGGGACCCGGGGTGACCCCGGTGCAGCCGGCGGGGTGCCAGGTCTCCAGGCTGCTGGCATTGCCGGGGTGTCGTGTGTCCCCCCTCCAGCCCCAAACCCGCCAGGAATAGCACAGAGGGACCGCGGGGCAGAGGCTCGGGGATGGCGGCGGTCAGGGATGTCAGTGCCATCGGCAGGGGATGGTGACCCCGGGGCTCGGGGAGTGGGAGCGGTGCCAGCGCTGCAGGCAGGGCTCGGTCTCCGCCGCCGTGGCAACTGGCAGCGGCAGGCTGGCACCGCCGCAACGGGGGACAGTCCCCGGAGCCCCCCGTGCCAGGGCAGCGTGGGTGGGTTGGCAGGATGCGGGTCATTGTCCCCACGGCTGCTGGCAGGACACGGGGGCCCGTGGGACCCGCCGTCGCTGCTTGTCCCACTGCAGATGGTGCTGGCAGTGCCACAGCCGCTCCTCACGGGAGCCCACCGGTGCCTGACGGGTTTGGGGGGGTGTGGGGGGGTGGATCACATCCTGCTGGAAGCTCCATCTTGTCACCGTGGCCCTCCAGCACCCGTCACCCCACGGCAGCCGGGCTGATGGCAGCTGCCAAAGGTGTCCCCGGGACGGCTGCGGTCCCCGAGCTGAGGCCGTTGCCGTGGTTCCCCCTTCCCGAGTGTGTGGAAGCCGTGGGGATCCTGGCAGAGGGCTGACACCACTCCCCTGCCACCCCGGGAGCAGCCCCACAGCAGTGCCGCCAGCACCAGGGCCCCCGCCACCCCTGGCTGGGGACACAGCTGGAGCAGGCGGGGACAGCAGCGGGGTGGTCCCCAGCAGCCTCGGATCAACACCCTGGGTGCGGCAGCATCATGGGGATGGGGGCATATGGGGACCCTGGCTGGGAGAGGTGGTGACAGCAGGGTGACAAAGGCATGGGGAAGGGGAGGTGTCCACGGGCTGCAGGGTTTCTCCATGCTGGGCAGGGAACGAGCGCCTGCAGCAGTGCCGAGGGACATCGGGGACAATTCGTGGTCCCCGCTGCTGGCACCTCAGGGAGGGGGTCACACCGTCCTAGTCCCCAAAACAGCCCGCAACGGCACAGCCTGGGATTGCCCACCCCACGCCTTAGCCCCGCGAGGCCGTGGGATTGTCACCCCCCATGGTGGGGACTGTCACTTCCCACGATGGGGATCGGGAGCCCCCCGCGAAGGGGACCGGGGTGACGGGCGGCTGCCGGGCGGTGGCACCGCCGGCGTGGGACCGGGATGGGGACGCCCTGCACCCCCCCACCCAATGCCAGCCTTTCTCCCCTCTCGCACCATGGGGACACCACCACGGTGTGTCCCCGGAGGTGACCGCAACCGGGCAGAGCCACCCAGCACGTCCCCGCCGCAGCCCCCGCCCCATGGCCAAGGTCAGGACACCCGCCCGGGGTGCGGGGGGACGGCGGGTGACGGCCACCCCCTCCTGGCACCCACCGGGCAGCGGGGAAGCCTCCTCTCCTCATCTCCCTCGGCGGTGCGGCGGGGCCACGTCCCCCCCGACCCGCTCCCTGGGCGGGGGGAGGCTGCAGGTGCCAAGGGACCCCCCGCACCCCGAGAACGGCGAGGAAGGGGCTCCCCGGAGGGTCCCCCCTCCCCCCGGCGGTGGCAGCATCCTCCTCATCGTCCTCCTCCCCTCCGCGGTGCCCGGAGCGCGATCGTACCTGCGGCGGGGGCTCAGCGCCGGGCGGGAAGCGGGGCGGGGTGCGGGGCTCGGCGGAGCGGGGCCCCCCGGGGCCGGTGCCGGGGCCGGTGCGGGGCGGCCGGGCCGCTCCGCCACATCCGCAGGGGCTGGGGGCGGGGGTGGCGGCGGCGGGGCTGGGCCCCCCCTGCCCGGTCCCGGGGGCGGCGGCGGGGCGGGGGCTCTGCCCGCCGTGATTTATGGCCGCCCCGCACCGAGCGGCCCGGCCCCGGCTGCGGGCGGCGCTGGGCGGGGGCGGGGGCGGCCCCTCCCCGCCCCCGCGGGGGGCACCGAGGGGCACCGAGCCCCGCCCCGGGGGGGGGGGGGACC